ACCTACTCAATGCGCTTGCTAATTTGTTCATTAAACTCAATAACGTTAATTAATTTATGGAAGAAGAACCGGCTACCTGGTCGTCCTTGAGGAAGAGGGTGATCTTGGTGCCTCTGCCAAGTTGCTCACCAGAGGTATCCCTCGTAACAGTGAAGGAGCCACCGGCTTGTGATTCCCAGATGTACTGCTCGTCGTCATTGTGCTTGGTGGTAACAATGACTTTCTCTGCAACAAGGTATGCAGAATAGAAACCAACACCAAATTGTCCAATCATGCTCACATCAGCCCCTGCCTGCAACGCCTCCATAAACTCCTTTGTACCAGACCTTGCAATTGTCCCCAAATTGTTCACCAAATCTGCTCATTGGGAAAATTGAAACACAGTCAGAGATAAAATCAGAAAAATACATCACGCATGTCAATCTCACTACCAACATTCACATTTTCTTCTCTCTTATACTCCCAAAATTACAATTTTCTAAATTTTTAAATGAAGTTCTTTCTGTTATTCTAACTCCAGACCAATGACCAATTGTTCGTGCATGTTTAAACAAAATATCAAGTTCGGACCAAATAAATGCCAACGTATATTGCATTCGATTTAAAATCATCAAAATTAAAAGCGATAATTTTGTGGAAAAATAATCCGACTAATACTTTTGAGAGAGAGAGAGGGATGCAAAGTAAATTACCTGCTTTGGTCATGCCAACGCCGCTGTCGATGATGGAGAGAGTTTTGTTGACCTTATCGGGCACCAGCCGGATGAAGAGCTCCGGTTGGGCATCAAGCTTGCTCTTGTCAGTCAAGCTCTCGAAGCGGATCTTGTCCAAGGCATCGGAGGCATTGCTGATCAACTCTCGAAGGAATATCTCCTTGTTGCTGTAGAAAGTATTGATGATCAAGCTCAAAAGCTGGTTGATCTCAGCCTGGAATGCAAAAGTCTCGGCTTCACCCATCTGCACATCCGCCATTACTTACTCAAAAAATACTTCGTTGCCTACCGAAAATCAGAAAGTTTGAACAGAAAATCGGAGAGCTAAGAAGAAGAGCTTCTTGCTTTCTCTTTTTTGAAAGACGGAGAACTTTTAGGAATCCTGAGCGAGCGGAGAGAAGGTTGGAGGAAGATTATATAGAGATGGGATGGGGGAGGAAGTTGTAGCCTTCTAGGACCTTCTGTTACTGCTATTTGTGAGAATTGCTGATGAAGTACGAGCCAAGTTTTGTTTCAAACGGCGATGCGCGCAAGTTTTTCGCTTCTCGACCCTTCCACGCCCCTCCAGATTTCTTTGATTACAGCTGCTACTAAGTACTACTTAAAAAGAAAAGAATTTTACTACTAATAAATTATTAACAAACAAATTATCTTCTTGGAAATTTCCTTTTTTTTTTTGAAATTTTTGTTTGGAAATTTGAGGGACTGCTCTTTAGTATCTTTCCATTTGTTTTCCTTTTTCTTTTCCTTCTTTCTTGCCTCGTTTGACGAGTTTTTTGAATATTTATCTAAAATTTTACTGTAACTTACTGTAAAAGTTATAGAAAAAATTTTTGAAATATATAAATTTTTGAATATTTTGTACTATATAGTTTAAAATTTTTGCAAATTTTTTTGAGATTGCTATAGTTAAAGTTATTAAAATATTTATAGCAAATAAATTAAGCTAAAAATTTACTTGTCAAACAAGGCCTACATTAGAGTACTGCAAGTATTATTTATTGGACAAGAGTAAAGAAATGAAAGATTAGGATATACTACAGTTGTCATCTCCGAAAAAAAATATTATTTATTAGGCAGGAGTAGAGGAAGGAATTTCTTTGATTGGAGCAAGGAATTTCCACGTTTGGGCAAGTGGATCCACCGTCTATAGAGGAGAATTCTGGAATTCTCTGGTATGGTCGGCCCATGCCACACCTTTGATTTGGGATTTTTTTTTTATATATATAGTTTGCCTGTAATTTGTGGGACGGATTAAAGCGTGAGCTAAACGATTGATTGGTTGTCTTATTTAATTTGTAACTTTTAAAGTGCAGCAAGAGAGTTACGAAAGGGTTAGAGTGTTGGAAAATTAATGAAAATTTGATATGTTTTTATCAAAAAAAGTCTCTGGAAAAAAGGTTTTATTTCTTGTTTTCTTATTTTTTGAGTGAAGAACCAAAACAAGGTTTGTCAATCACGCTTTTTGAGCATAGCCTTGCCGAACTCTTTTTCAGTCATGGTCAACCCAATTTAAAAAAATAAATCAAAAGACAATGGCTCTGTTTGGATTCAAGAGTTTTTCAAAATATTTCAAAATATCTCAAAATATATTCTAAAAACTCTTTTACTCTTAAATATTTCAAAATATTTTCTAAAATATACTATAAAAACTCTGCTACAGTAAAAATTTTCAAAAATACTCCAAAAAATAGCTGATCCAAATGGACATATTGAAGAAAATTTATGCAGTGAAAAATATTAGAAAACATTTATGCATTAACGAGAAATTTCTTTTGAAGTGCAACATGTTCATACTATTTTTGACTAGGTTGAAGCGTGTCTAGTAGTATATACAATAAGAAATTATAAACAATCAAACCCAATATTCTTTTTTTTTTTAAATAGATTCTCATAATGAGTATCTAACGTAGCTAAATTTTATCCAATCTATCATGTATGATGCATGTGTGGATATTATTGAAAAAATTCAACACACTCCGCGTTTTAACATCAAAATTGAATTTTAACAAATTTTTAGTGTGTTCCTATCATATGAGAGGATTAAGGGTGGCAATGGGGTGGGGGAGAGCCATGGGGCGGGGGACCTCTCCCCCACCCCCTACCCTGTTGCCTATTAATTCCCCTCGCCCCCACTCCCGCCCCATCCCCTGCCCCAGGCTTTCCCTGCAGGGATATCCGTAGGGTTAAAAAAATTTTGTAATATAATTTCATTATAATTAAATTTTAGCAAATAATCAAGTACTAAAATATCAACATATCACCAAATTATTATTCATTATAACTTCACAATTAAAACTCATAAAAATAATTAAATAAAAGTTATTTGAATACAATCTAATATGATAAAACAAATATAACTAAAATAATCAAATTTTTACTTTTGATATAAATACAATCACTAAATTATTATTGTGTTTTTTTCAGAAAAAAGTGTTATTGTATTAAGTGCAGTTAGGTATTTAATATAAATGTATTAATAATTTTAGTATAAATAATTAATAATTTTTTTAATAGACATGTATAATTAGTAGTATAATTGATAATATCAATTATATTACATAAACTAATATGCATTAAATGATAAATATAATTAATAATATCATTATTATAAATTTATATCTAATTAAATTAAATATTATATATATAATTATGTACATATATATGTCTTTATTTTTTAATGTACATATATATATCTTTATTTTTTTTAAATCGGTAGCGGGGCCCCCGCCCCATTTCTAAACGGGGGGAAAAAATTCCTCCCCGCCCCAATAGCCCTCCACGGGGCACCTCATTGCCATCCTGAGAGAGGAGGGCCCCCGCCCTCATTGCCATCCTTAGAGAGGATTATATGCTACCGTATGCCGAAATTCAAGGGTCTATAGATATCTCATAAAGTTTTTTTTTTCTTTTTGTCTTTTTTCTACCTCTTTTCCCATTTTACCGTGTCGGCACCTCTATCAACATCTCCTTAAATGTTGGTGGCATTGCTATCTTCCTACCCTTTTTTTCCCTCTCTCTCTCTCATCCATTTTTCCTTGCCACACACACACACTCTCTCTCTCTCTCTCTTTTCACACTGCTCTCTCCTCCTTCATTTCCTGCAAGAAAAAAGGGAAAGGAAGAGAAAGGCGTCAGTGGGGAGAGAGAGTGGAAAGAGAGCAAATGTAGTGTGAGGAAGAAGAAGAAACAAGAAGAAAAAGGAAGAAAATGAAAAGGGAAAAAAGTTTTTCAAATCTTAAATACAAAAAAGTTTTTTTTTTATAAATGCTCAAGAAATTTTATATAAATGCTCAAGAAACACACCTTGCGAACAGACCCAATATTGTTAGATGGGCTGAAAACGCTAGTACGCTAGTTGGAGCATACCTAAGCTCTGGCTCATTTTTCTCTAGTTGGCGTTTATGATTTATCCCTTTTATTGCCCAAAATTAATTTTCTCTTTGGATTCCAAAACAAGTTTTTCATATACAATACTACAATAATACATAAACAAAAACAACTTAAAAAACATCACATCCATACAATATATCAAAAACAACTTTAAATATTCAAAAAAATTTAAAAAATAAATCTATACCATATATTTTTTTTCATCACCCCTACCCACCATCTTCCTACTCCCTTTCTTATCTCCTTTTTTCTCTTTCTCCCTTTTCCTCCTATCTCTCTTTCCTCTTCCCCTCATCTTTTCCGCCATACCCCGCCTCCTCCCTTCTAGCCTCAACCAGATTGAGGCCTTTGGTTGTGATCAAGGGCCACAATCTGGTATTCACAAGGCTATATCGGAAGGGGCGGGATATAGAGAAAAAGGGGAGGCAGGTTAGGAAGGAGGGAGGAGGAGGAGGGATTGAGTGAAGGAGGAAAAAGAGAGAGGAGGAGAAAAGAAAAGGAGGCAAAGGGGGATGGTAGCGGTGGTGGGTGGAGTGTTAATTTTTAAAAATTATCCTAAAAATTTTTAAAGTTTAAAAAATTCTAAAATATATCCCAAAAATACCTTCAAAAATACCGCAAAGAACATTTTTTTCGTATACATTATTATAGTAAAATATTTCAAAAAAATCCCAAAAATGCTAATCCAAATGGAACCTAAGTTTTTATAGTTGAGGAATTTAAATGTCCCACTCTAAAATTTGAAGACTGAAGTGAAATTTCTTGTATAATTTGAGGGGACAAAATAACCCAATAATTAGAAAGCTCAAAGCTGGGCTGTAGGTTTTAGCAGGCCCAGATGACCAGGCTGGACCATATTGACAATCCGAATTTCAGTGAGACGAAGCGGCAGACTGCTTTCCCTGTCAAATGGTCAACTGGTTTTTACACTAGAACTCCGTTAAACCGTAATTGCACGTTGAGCCGTTAGACCGTCACACTAGACTTCAGTTGGCAAAATCGAAATTGGCCGTCGCGATTGCGGAGGACTCTGCGTTTCCATTTTTCCTCTCTTCTTTTAACTTCTATCGATGCCATCATCGCTCGGCAGCAGTCCTACGGTGATCATCTCTAAATCAACATTTGAAATCTGGCAATTCTTTGTCGAAATATGAACAGGAGTTGATGGCGAATGTATCGGCGAGGAAGAAGTCTAACAAGAGATCGAATTCGAATTTGAAGCGCCAGCAGCAGTCGTCGGTGGCCTCTCCTTCCATGTCTTTTCGTCTCAAACACAGGAGAAAGATCATTCTGTTGACTACAGTTGCTGTGGCTTGGGGCGTGTTACTAACGGTGAGCCGTACATCGATATCTTCCACCGCCTTTCAATCAAAACTTCAATCCAGCCATCTTCACACTGTCGAAGTGGTCAACGAATTCCCTCATGACCCCGGCGCCTTCACTCAGGTTCAATCTCTCAACAGTTCTCGATTCGCAATTATTTCGTCCTTCTCTATATTATATATCCTTTTTTATGGAATTAATTGTAGGCTATCATTTTATCTAAAACTTAGACGATTTTCGCTGTAATTTTGACTCGTTGTTCAATTTATTTCAATAGACTCTTTTTGACAATTGGTGACGTGGATCACTAGGTGAATAGAAATATTTATGGAGGAAGATGAAGTGCGAAACTCTTTTTAGTGCACAACTTCCATGTTCCTATAGATATAGTGCAAAAACTGGTAGGATCACTAGGCTAATATATTACTACATAAGAGTTTTAGGCTTGCTAATTGGAATCTGAGCTTGTTGAATCAACATTGCTTTATTGTTTACAACTTTGACTGGAGTAACGATCTTGGACATGATTGAAAACTCTTTCCAACTAAATGAAGAGAGTTTTTCTGTCAGTAGCTATGAACTGTGCTACTGTTATTAATGCTATTTTAGTTGCTTTCAGGGCCTTTTGTATGCAGAAGATGATACGTTGTTTGAATCAACTGGCCTTTACGGAAATGTGAGTTCTTGTTTGCATTAGTTTTTCAACTCGTTAATTCTGGACAAACATTAGCCATCGTAGTCTCATGTCCCCCTCCTCTCCTCTCCCTCTCTCTCTCTCCACATAACGCACCCACACACAGAGAGGCACATATATAGAGGAGGAATGGGGTTGCTGATCCAGAGAAAGGCCTTTTGTGTGAAAATGATGCTTCACACCTGAGTCTGGCGACCACCAATGTGCAATTCATTCTTATTCTTTTTGTGATTTTTATGAAATATTGTTATAGTGGTTCTGAAACTGTCATAATACTATTTTTAGAAATAGTATCTTGGAAATTTACTTTTCCTGTCTCTTTTGACTGCGAATTTGTAGAAGAGCCTCAAAATTTTGTGCCCAGAGTGGTAAATCAAGCGACATGGATGATTAAATCTATTGCAGACACAATACTACTGCAATAGTGGGAATTTCAATTGAACTTTGCAGTATCTTGACATTGAGAAACCTGAAGATTAACAATGGTTTCAGATTTTTTTTTTAAAAAAAAAAAATTGGTCAAAACAGCTGAAATTAGTGCCCTTTTTTCAATTTCTTGCTGTATACACTATTCGTCTTGATTTGTCTTTTAATAGTAAATTAATTGCAAATGCATATTAATGTTCTTGTTTCTTCCACAGTCATCTGTGCGGAAAGTGGCTCTTCGGAGTGGAAAGGTATTTCTCTTATTCAGCTTTACAGTATCTGGTTGGTTGTGGAAATATGTTTTTGTACTTTACAAACATCCATTTCAGGGGTGGGGGAAAAAGCTTGCTTTATTTTTGTTCTAGTGTTTATCATCTTATAAATATGGGCAAAAACTTGTGTGAACCCGGTCTACGGACCCACATATGGACACTTGGCTGTTAAGTGGCCACATTACTCTTTCTAACTGGGGTTTATCGATTTTCTTTCCTTATACTACTTTTTGTTTGGGCTCTGAACAAAAAACATACGAAAAGAAAAGAAAGAACATATGGAGGTTAATGAAGTTTGAGCTGGATCCTCCAAATTCAAATTATGAAGTCATCAATTACTATCTTTTTCTCTTTCGAGAATGGATAAGCTCCAAAGCCTATAGACGGTTTTTTCTCCAAGTCTTATGTTTCAAGTATAACCCAGTTCCATGCTTGTAAGTAAATTTTTTCACATCTGTTATATCTCTCTTTTCTTTTTCTTTTTTTTTCTTTGGGGACTTTTGACAAACAGTTTATGAACAATGAACTTGACAAAATCTGAGAAGCGATCAGATCCTTCAGTATGTAGTCAATGATGCCTCATAGCTATAGAATACAAAATTAAAACTAATTCAAAGACACACAAGTCTATGACAGAAAAAAAAATTTTAATTCTTTTAAGAAAGGTGAAGGAACACTTTGTAAGTGTTGGTAGCTCTCTGTATGTCTGCTGGCTTGCATCAGTTGAGACATTGTACCTTTGGCCATCAATTTCCTATTGGCCTTCTTTGCAAGTTAGCCACTAATCCTTGCAAGTGGGCCGCTAATCCTCAGATGGTCGGTAAAAATGGAACTAAATGATTATTATCAAGTTCTCCATTTTTCTTTACCTTGCTCCATTTCTTCTTCTTCCTGCTGCCAGATTTGGCTGCATTTGAGGGTAGAAGGTGGGGCGTTATCCTCCTTGCCATTGCAGAATATGAGGAGGAATGATAGGGTTTTCTATCGGGACTTGGGAGGTGGTTGGGGAAAGCAGCTGACTAAAGGGTATAAGGGAAACCAGCAGAAGAATTTAACCATAGTTGAGAAAACAAGGAACAGAATTTGTAGTTCTTATATTTAATATTCCATGAGGATATGGCGAGTTCTACACCACTCAGTCTACGGATGGGCCCATAGACTGAGGCTACCCAAGTTTTTGCCATCAATATGTACTCCTTGTATGGTATGTTTGGGTCACAAAAATGTCGTAAGCTTTCAGGTGTAAAGACAGAGGTTGGTAAACAGATTGATATGTCAGATACTTTGTTTTGAAGTGATAAGCTACCATCTCTGGTTTTCACAGGTTCAAGCTATTCAGAAAATGAAGAGAAGTTATTTTGGAGAAGGTTTGACTCTTCTTGGAGAAAGGTTTGGGTTAAGATCTAATCTGTTCAGAGTGTCTATGCTTTGCATTTATTAGTAAATAGTAAAAGGAGTTTCCATTTTTATACATAGTCAGAAACTTGGTAAACTGTGAAAACTTGATCTAGCAAAAGCAATAGTTCCATACGTGGCAATAATTGAGAATTTTGACACAGTTGATCAACTGAAATTCTTTCTTCCCTTCTCCTTTTATTGAAATGAATGTAAGTTACTGCTTGAACTTTTAAGCATTTAAGGGTTTGGTTTTTCTTATAGTTTTTCCAACTTACAGCAGACTTAGTAACCTTGTTCCTAGAAGTTTTCTTTTGTTCATTACTTTTCTTCCTGAACATTTACCCCCCTGATTTTAGTAAATTGAATAATCAAACTAGTCCTCAGTACTGATGCAGTAATCTTACTTTTGTAGGTTGCTTCAAGTTACTTGGTTGCGGAATATTGGTTTCATTTATGACCGGAATGATTTAAGCAAAGTTTGTACTTCACTTTTTTCTTTTTGAGTAACATTTTTACTGAAATTTGTTTCACATCTATTCGCAGCAAGATTTTAGAGCATTCGTAACTTCTATATAACAGTCTCGCCTTGAGTGTTAAAACTGATGGCTGTATTTTTGAGAATTTTCGGTTTCCAGTTGCTAAATTTGTGGCATTTGATCTTCATTGACTTCTGTGGTCTGGAAACAGCTTTTTCTTGTTTTGAATCGTCAATATAGTTATGCTCATCGATGTTGATAAATTTGTTTGATACAGTAATCATGTTCACGGCATGGAACCATGCTCAATGTAATTGTCCACATTCAGTATACAGTTTTCTGTTTTCCAGCTGTCAGTTGCCATGTTTCTTCATGCTGTCCGGACAGGACAGACATCATAGTCTGATTTTACTTGACTTTCAAATAGATGAATACTGCTTAGGCCCTTTTAAAAATTCAAGATGAAGAAATAAATCTTGCTAACTAATTTTGATTTGGACACAAGTGGAAATGAAAACTTTGTGATCTTGCATATAATTGTTTATGTGGTCGATAATCCATGTACTCTCTTGCATACAACCTTTAGAATTGCCAAACATTAGATTGGTGCATCTTCTTTGTGTATTTGACAGCTTTTTTGTGGTTTTTCACTCCTGAAATGGTCTACACAGTTTGAGGAGTTTACCCATCAAATGCAAGATGGTTGGGGATTGGCTACTGATGGAAAAATTTTGTTTGGGAGCGATGGATCATCAACCTTGTATCAGATGGATCCTCAAACCATGAAAGGTCTCTGTCATATGAAAGTCCAAGTAAATTCCATTTTCTTTTAGATTTCTTTTGGTGATCCTTTTATTATATCTTGCTACATACATAATCTGGTCTGTTGCTATTGCAACACTTATCTTCTGAATTGTGGTCTTTATTTGTTTGATTTGGTTTGTCATACTTGACTTAAATTTTCTCATATATGCAGTTATTAGTAAACACATTGTGAAGTATCAAGGACATGAAGTACGCTATCTCAATGAATTAGAGTACGTAAACGGTGAAGTTTGGGCAAATGTTTGGCAGGTAAAGTCCTCCATTTCTGCTTGGCTATTTTTGGCTTGTGTATGTGAGACTTATTTTGATGTTGGTGCAACTGACCTTTAGCACTTTACACTTACAACGGAGGTTGGGCTGGTCAATTTGCTTATTTTGTCAATAGATGATGAAGCGCATTGTTAAATTGTTGTACCATTTAGAAGTCTATCTTTGTTTTAGTTTGTTAACTGAATGGATTACAGGTAAACGAGATACTGTAGCGTATTCTTATTCTTAACACAGTATATAGACTTACCTTATTTTGCACTTTGCAGACTGACTGTATTGCTAGAATCTCGCATGATGATGGTACTATGCTAGGATGGGTCCTCCTCCATAATTTGAGGTTCTGATTTTGGTCTTTTACTAGTTAAAATCCTAATAATGCTGTCTTATCAGATAATGAGTCCTTCCTCCAAAAACTTGTGCGAGGATTGATATTTATTTTTGCTTTGATTGCAGGGAAGGGTTAATAGCTGCTGGGTTCACGGTAGGCATTTTGTGTGCGTACTTTTCAATGAATTGCATCTTCTGTACCTACGGTAAAGTTTTACTTTTCCACCTTCTTGCAGGGAATTGATGTTTTAAATGGCATAGCTTGGGATAAAGACAAAAACCGTCTTTTTGGTGAGTCCTTTCATTTTTATCAATACTACTCGTTGGGATGTTATACAGCAGCAGCTTAGTTCAGTCTAGGTTAATCCAAGCCGAGCGAATAAATACTGGCATGTAAAACCTGTGATGTTTGGATATTAGCAGCCATTTCCAGCTTTGTTGTTACTGGGGAATTTACACAGTGGAGTCTGGCAATAATATTTGAAGAATGGATGGTACTATAAAATATGCACGGATGTCACCATGAGTTGTGAATACTTTTGCCATTTGGGATTTGAACTATTCTTAGCAGAGTTGCCCCTTTTTCTTTTTTAGAGTTGCACTCTTTGCTGTCTTGAATCGTTGTGCTTCGCCTAAGGCTGTCATTGAGCAGTGCAAGGACTTCCAAAAGAATCTGAATGTGTTATTTGCAGTGACTGGAAAGCTGTGGCCAAAGCTGTATGAGATCAAGCTGCACCCCATTCAAACGCCCTTTAATGGAGACGTTGAGAAGATCTGCATACCAAGGGCAATCCATTTTTGACCGAGCATTGGGAACTTATATGCCTCTTTGAAGGTAGGCATCTCTGTGGCGGCTCAACAAAAAAATTGGCCCTGATGGGCGTATTAAAGAATATGGGAGGAGTTACAGATGGGCGTATTTTGTAGGTGATACTGCTGTACCATACTTGGCAGTAATTTATTTATCCAATTATTCAGCAAAAGCATAGAGAAGCGACTAATTCAGGTCTTTCTTCAGAGCGGACAATCTTGGTAACTCCATAAACTTGGTTAATTTTGGCGGTAAAGCTTGATGTTCCATATATAGAAGAACTGAAGCAGGCTGCTAAGCAGTAAAATATTTGCATTTTGTACAAACTCGGGGCCCAACTTAGAAGAAATAATAAAGAAACTATAATAAGTTAAAAGGAAAAATATAATGCCTTTTAGGTTAATTTAATATTTCTTTTGGGCTTTCGAGAATTTTTCAAAAAATAATTTTTAAAAAATTTCTTCTCTCCCGCACACGTTTAGAAAAAGGGGGTATACCTGCAAAATCGGCCAGAGATTTCATCCTTTTTTGGTATTTTCACTGAAATTGTAAGTCGGTAAAGTCGTTTTACAGCAAAAACCTCGAATTCATTAAGAGGGCATAAGATACCCAGCATTTTCGCGTGTTTATGTCCAAAAAAAGTAATAAACCCGTAACCACTTTTCTCAAGAATTAAACTAAAATCGAAGGGTCCGCCAAAAAATAAATTGATGAGAGAAAAGCCATTTAATGGATTTTTGAAGTATGCTGTTAAGGATTTTAGAGCAAGTATAAAATTTGAAATATATTGTATTAGTACCTGAGAATCTACTACATTAATACTCCCCCTTTTCCAAGGAAAGATGAAAAGTTTTAGGTTTTAAAAACAAAATCCTCAATGCAAATTTTTTTTTTTTTTTTTTAAATAGTATTGCCATTCTTCTTTATCTGATGATGTCGATCTGTTAAACACTTCTGTGTAATTGGATAACTCATGATTGATGATTCCCGCCTTATAAGGTGCTTCAGTTAGTTTCTTTAAATTTGAATTTACATACCTTATCTAAGAGTCTTCCCTGACCATAGAGTGACAGTGACAAGAGCCTTCTAAGAGTGGACGTCCTAATTTTCAGAACATTTCATCAAATCACCATCATGTCTTTCATTATCCCGTCTGTCAATTACAAACTCTCCAAGCCAACTTCATTTTTCGGAGTTAAATTATGGGTTGCAATTATAATCTGCATCTCTATAGCCATGCTTTTTGCTCTGTCCATCTTCATATGCTTGATCTTCATTCTCCGCCGCCGGGGGCGGGATAAATGCATTGTTAAAAGGACTATCATCTCCAAGAATTTTAAAACTTCTCAAAATACGTCTTCTCCAGCCATGAGTAAGAGGCTCTTGTCGCGTAATGGATGGGATGTAGAAATGAGCATTGGCAACCCTGACGAACATTGCTCTACTGGGGCTAGTGGGATTATAGTGACGAGTAACGGGAACAAAGCTGAGTGCCCGCCAATGGCTCTGGATATAAGGCCAGGCAAAGAATATACCTTCAATGAGATTGAAGCAGCAACGAATGGTTTTGCTGATGAAAATATTGTTGGATGTGGAGACTACGGAGTTGTTTATCGTGGAGTCCTATTTGATCATACTCGAGTTGCAATCAAGAAATTGCTTGTCAATAGGTACGAGGCACAAAGTATTTCGTACGGAATAGATAAATACTGGGAATGCGATGCTCTTCGATACTTGTATTGATTAGCTAATGTGCTAGCAGGGGCACATTAAAGGATTTTGTGGCAGGGGTGGAGGCAATGTGGTGTCTCAGACACAAGAACTTGGTGAAATTACTGGGATACTGCAGAGAGGGAATGTTTAGGTGCGTACCTAATTATCATTTCTTTATTAGAAAACGAAAAAGTTTGTAGAAGTACAGTGATTCTGCCTGTTTTGTTTGAATAATCAGGATGGTTGTGTACGAGTATGTGGACAATGGCAATCTTAACCAATGGCTTCACGAGAGCACAAGTAAAGTTAGCCGTCTTACATGGGAAATCAGAATGAGTATCATTGAAGGAATTGCAAAAGGGTGCACTGTTTTCCCCCTGAAATGAGAGGTTTATACTTAAGTTTATGCTGCATGATCAATTGTTTTTTTCTTCTAATTTTTTTTTCTTTTTCAAATAACTTGTGTAGGTTAGCCTACCTGCACGAGGACTCTGAACCTGGAATTACGCATCGACACTTAAAATCAAGCAATATATTGCTTGACAAGCAATGGAATCCTAAGATATCTGATTTTGGAATCTCCAAGTTTTTTGGTCCTGAGTGGAGTCATGCCACTGCTCTCCCCATGGGAATGTCCGGGTTAGCTATGTCTAATAAGCTTCACTAGTTGCATTTTGGAACAACTACTCTGATTACGGAAAGACTTGTGCTATTTCTGTATACTTGTAATGCATTGCTAACTTAGATGCCTTGCTTCAATATAGTTATATTGCACCCGAATGTGCCAGTACTTGTATTCTGGACGTGAAAAGCGATGTTTACAGCTTTGGGATACTTGTAATGGAGATTGTATCAGGGAAAACTTCAGTGCAGTACAGCGTTACTGAAATAGAGGTTCTCTTCTAAGAACCTTTTGTCTTATTTTTCTTAGTGCAGGCAGGAATGTCCTAATGCGAACTTTCATTTTGCAGGAATACTTAATTGACTGGATAAAACTAATGGTTTCAGAACAAAAGTTTGATCAGGTTGTTGATCCCAGTTTGCCTGAAATGCCTTCTGTGAAGGAATTGAAACGCATTCTTCTTCTAGCACTCCGATGCGTTGACCCAGATGCTGACAAGAGGCCTAATATGGGCAATGTGATCCACATGCTCGAGCCGCGGGACTTGCTACTCGCAGATGTAAGAGCATGCGTGTAAAGAATTATTTGTACCTTTTTGTGTTCTTCTTTCCCTTTCGTATATAATTTTTTTTGGTCGATGCAGGAACTTGTGGTCAAAAGGGTCAGTTCTCGTCGTAGATCTTTCAAAGAAGATCATCAAACATCAACTTAGTTCATTTATCTCTAGATACAAACGAGGAACACAGGCAAGTCTGTTCCTACCTGACCGTGAAGTAAAAGTCTGCATTTGTATTTAAAGAGAAAATGTCCAGTTTTCTTTTTCTTTTCTTTTTTTTTTATCGGGGAAGCGAGATGTAGAGGGTTTAAACATCATATGGTCTTTTGACGAACTTGTAATCAGTTGGAATAGTTTCTGAAATTGACAGATATGGTCAGCAAATTTTGTTCAGTTACAGACCAATTTCTCAGTCCTAACACGGCTTGTAAAATTAGGCAGTTCAGCTCCACTCATGTACTCTGGCACATCCGATTAATTTCAATATTTCATCTCAGCCAGCTTTTTTAACAGATTTCCCATGTTATTTATGTCTGAAGCCAATTGCAATTACTACCGAATCCAAGATTGCAGAGAGTACCCCTCTTGTTTCAATGTGCTTTCTGTTCCATATATCTGGATGAACACTCGCAATGTCAACGGCCAGCCTCACCTTACTCTCACAGGGGAGGTACAATCGAACTTTCATTTCTGGAAAGTTCGAGTGAGGGATCGCCTTTTATTCAGAATATAGTTGATTTGCTGCATCCTTAACATTCTTGGCATTCTACTTCAGAAAGGGCTTTCAGCCTATAGTGATATGATTACCATGGTTTCAACATAAGCAGTAAAGCACCAATCATTCTAAAAGCAAACTTTATATTTCGGTTGATGATTCGCTCCACAAATTGAGATGCATGTGGTACCTCTATCCAGGAGGGGGTTTTTTATTCCCCGGCTCCTCAAAACTCAACCTACAGAGAGAATGAGACTTCATGGCTTTGATTCTTTAGCCTATCGTCCAGAATATGATGAGATATCTCACTGGCAAGTATAACTTCAGCACTATCAGGCTATAACGGGTAAGAATTTTAGCAGTTAGTTGCTGTCTCCAAATGATATTCCATATACCATCGCAGCCGTAGTAAACAGCAATAAGTCATCCACTGTGCAGAAATCAAATGAAATAATCTAGATTTATATAAGAAAGGAAAATGTTTTACAGAAAAGAGATCCTTCTGAACCGTCTTAGTAAACTGCATCCTATTCAACCCTCGGGGTAGTGGCCAAAGGGGGTTGGCGGGGGAGGAGGGAGGAGGAGGAGTAAACTGCTTCCTATTCTTCTGAACATTGGATGGATGAAACAAGTCAGCTTTCGATCGCGATAGCATCTTGAGATCAAGTACTCTCATGTGTTAAAGTAAATATTCTGCACAATAAAGGCACTGATGCCTTAGCGATCCTCAAAGTATAGCTAGGCACTGATAGCTTTTAGCGATCCTGAAAAGACCAGCCATAGAAGACTTAAAATTAAATGAAGTTGGTAATAGGTGGAGAGGAAGTTGAAGCTTCGATGCGCCGCTCGCTTCCAGAGCCAAACAGGTCCACCCCCATACCTTCCTTCCGCCTTTACTCATGGCTGCAGCTCTCATATTTTCCCGTATGGTAAGCTAGCCACTTGGTGAAAATGAGGTTCCATGCATCGTCATATCTATATATATAGTGGATTTAGATACCATAATTTACTGTGGAAGGCATGGTCTTCGCCGCCGCCACCCCCACCAAAAAAAATTCAGCATGCATACGTCACCAATAAGTGAATGCATGTATGTACTAGCATGTATTCATTCACAAGCCAAAATCTTACTACTACTTAACAAGCAACTACCAACACAAGGGGTACAGCCTTGAAGTGCATTCCTCATCGTTCATCAAATTAAACCATGCTTACCTTTCTCAAAAAAAGATGTTTATTACAAACACTTGCTAGTATTTATTTAGTTTTTCCCTCTAAAGAAATGCTGCTTAGTTGAGTAACCCCCCATTTTCGAGCACCAAAAAAGGACAATTTTTTGCGACCCTGAACAGAAAGATTCTTATGTGCATGCTCCCCACCATGATAGCAGTAGACACTGACTGTAGTTTTCATACGTTAAAAGGCCATGGTACTCCGTTATTTCGAAAATATGATACTGCTACATAAGAACGCTAAAATGAGTTTTGTAGGGCAAGAAGCATGCACAGCACTATACGCGAGGAACACTGAAATAAATATGTATGGATGTCTGCCTAGGTGGGATTAGGGTGTCATCTACTTGCG